AACATATTGTTTTATGTGAGCTGCCTGCTTAAGATATTTTCTGCAGTAATAAAATAGAGAAGAGTGGAGGCAGTGTCAGACCGTAGTTGGAGAATTCAATAATTTTGATGTGGAAAATATGTTTTCATTGTGCCAGCTTCTCCGTGACTCATGGCAGAGTATTTTAAAAATAGCTTTTCTGTAGAAAGTCGGCTTTTTGTCATCTTCTCAAAACAGGACCTACACGACGCAGTGATTGACAGAACTGACCTGTGTGTGAAGATGGGAACATAAAAAACACAGCAAGCCCACACATGCTAATTTTGTTTGTTCCTTTTTCCTTTTATTCTTCTAAGAACCAGACAGACGTGTGGGATTGTCTGGCTTTAAAGGAGGTATGTGCTCAACTGAGTGCCATTCTAGTTTAGTCAATACATTTTTTGGGACATTTTTCCCAGAACAAATAAGCAAACACTGTCTAAAGGGAAGTGGATTCATTTGTGTTCATGTAGACCATGTTCATGTTTTAGCTCAATTTACATCAAAATGTTTAAAAGCAAAAAGAGCTAATTAATGAACTGGTTGTCTGAATGTAGATGAGCATGTTTTTCATAAGTTACAAGAATGCTGTAAATAAAAGTTAGTGGACTAACAGCTGAGTTGATCTCAGATCAGGAGGAAGATGATGAAGCTGATTTCCAGTCAGATGAAGGACTTTTAGACGAGGAAGCCGACTGATGGAAACAACATCGTCAGCTGACAGACTGTTGTAGGACAAATCCAAAACCTGAGGATTTCAGAAAATAGTAAAGATTACTTAAAAAACGTATACATTTTCTACATGGGCTGCTGATCTGTCCTGCACCAAAACAACTTAATTACGAATCTTAAAATGCAGGTTGTAGCATCAGTAGAGATTAAACTAGCAGCACATGGTTCCTTTGTTTGTCACCAGATCAGAGAAAAGCTCTGAAAGAACTGGAGTTGGGAGAGAAGCTGAAAACGAGCAGAGGGAGCAGCGTAAGGAAATCACGTTAGATGGAAGTAAAAGAATCTCCAGTTCTTGTAAAGATTAAAGTGAGGTCAGGTTGTGTTTTGGTGCAGTGACTATTTATGATTGACATGTACATGTTTAAAATGGTTTATTTAATAGGTATAGTATCAGTCATCTCACCTGGAGGTGAGGGAAGTCAGAGGCATCAAACGTCATGTTGTGAATCCCGTTTACAGACAGATTGAGTTCTCGTAAAGACACAAAACTGCTGAAAGACCCTGGAGAGAAATATCAGGAACTCAAAAGAAGATTTTACACAGGGTTTGAGTGATGTGTAAGAATAATCACCTAAAGACAGGAGGTTGACAGAGGCATCGATGTAAGCTACGTTATCGAACATCTTGAGATCTTCAGGCTTCACCTGAGCACATAAAGGAAAATATATTTAGTCCATCCAACCCACAGACGACCAAATCATTTGATCTAAAATGGGAAAGTGGCTCTTACAGAATCTAGCTCCTGTTCACTGATGTGAACGGTGCACAGCTCGGATGGTTTATCTACACAATGTAACCGCAGCTGCAAAGGAAAAGGGACATTGGACAACTTATCGTGCTACATGTAGTCAAATCAGCAATTTTCACATAAGTAGAGTTCAATGACTTACGAGGAAGGGTCCATCTAACGTGTGACCATGAGGAGCATCAGTCACCGCGATGTTCTCATGTCCTTCACGAGTCTCTTTAATCCGTCTGTACATGTGACTGTAACTCTGCTCCTCTGCCTTCCTGTAAGCCACAAGCCAGTGTCCACCCCCTGCGAGGGAAATAAAACTGAATAAATGATCTCAGTACATGTTGTTTGGAGATTCAGAAATAGGAACACTCGAGTTACCAATAATTATTCTCTTGAATATAATGTTGATTTATTTGCAGGTGATTTCCTGTTTTAAAAAGAAGTTGCTTCCTTCATTTAATCACTTAATCCTGCACTTTAATGAGACATTATCTGGTTGGTAATATGGGTTTTTATACTGTTTCTATACTGTTTAATGCTTCTGTTCTTTAATGCTGTTGAATGACTGTGTATGATGATGTGCTTTTGCATTTTGTCTGTAACATATGATAAAGTAGGGATCATAATTGTTTGTTTGGTCGACCAATTGCCCGAAACCCACAGATATCAATGATAAAAAAACAGAAAAATCGAGAGGCTGTGAAGCTAATAATATTTTGCCATTACTCTTTATTAAAGTATCCGTAGACCCGATGTTTAGAGGGGTCCGAATATATTAGTGTCACATTATGATTATTATTTTTATTATAGTAACCTACAGGGAAATCCCCCAACTTTTTGTGACAGAGCCATTCTGCTGACGTTTCCATGCAGCCTGACTTTATATAAACCAGTTATTGTTCATGCACGATCTCATTTCACTTGAATCTAACCCACCGTCCTTCCTCCGATGGAGCACTGACCGAGCAGGGAGACACTTGGTCGCATGTCTCTGTCCGTCCTCCAGTGTGCAGGACGCAGCAGTCATCTTGTTGTCTCGTCTAAATCCATTTATCTGGAGGAAATAAAAACTTTTTACACGCACGTCAGTTACGCTTCTCACGCGCTGAGCTGCTGCAGCTCCACTGTGGTGCTGCGTATCCTAGCAACAGCGCTTAAAATGGGAGGTTCCCCTCCGCTCCGGCAGGGGGCGATGAGGATGGGTACAAAGCGGAACTGCTCAAAGGTTGAACTCGACGATAAGATGATGCACCGCCTGTCTAGCTAGCCTGAAACATTAAGGGACATTTAACAGCTGTTGTTACGTGTATCCTGCAGTTTTCCTACACGCAACGCAACTTTTCTTAATGATTGTTATCAAGATAACGATATTCACTCAAACCGGTTAGCTAGCTAGTTCTTATCACAGTGCGCATACGCTAAACACGGACACTCGTGAGTGCCGCGGGAGGCTGGTTACTCATCTCCTGTTCAGCTAGCAGCTAGCTTGTCTGTTATCATGTTAGCATAAAAACGGGAAACCACATGATAAGTATAGTCTTTGTTGCTCCAGGCTATGTTGCTAGTCAGTCTTCGTCACGACCAACGAGGAAGTGCGCGTGAGAGTCTCTCTCGCTCCAGCGCAAGTCTTCTTTTCCGATGAACCCACAGCATCAGTGTCGTGAACACCAAAGGTCCCTGGTTCAGCGTGAAATCAGACGCTGAGATGTCGTTCACGCAAAAATCAAGGGTGACGAGTGACAAGTGAAGGTAAGATGCTTTGTTACAGTCCCCGCAGTGTGCGTGAGATGCGGCGTGGAGCTGTGCGGTCATGTGTCATGTATCACACAACTCTGAACACCAGTCTGTGATTTCAAGCCACAAACACACGCTTGTCACACATCCGGATGGTTCTCTGTCCTCAGGAGCTCTGATCCACCATGGGGAACACGGCGTCGAAGAGTGGCAGCATAGAGGAACTGGTCAAAACAACTTTGTTCGAGAAGGAGCCCAGTGGGATCACATACAGGATCCCTGCTCTCATCTATCTGAGGCACAGTCACACCTTCCTCGCCTTTGCAGAGAAAAGATCCTCCCCCTGTGATCATGATGCCAAAATTCTTGTGATGAGAAGAGGGACGCTGAAAGATGACGGAAGTGTTCAGGTTGGTATCTGCACCTTTCATTAACCCCTTTGCTTTCATACTGAAAACCCTCAGCGTGATCTGTGCTCACCTTTTCTCATTCTTGTCCTTTTTTCCCCCTCTCCAGTGGTCCCCCAGTCAGGAGCTGTCAACAGCATGTCTACCAAACCACCGCACCATGAGCCCCTGCCCCGTGTATGAGAAAAACAGCAAAATGTTGTTTCTGTTCTTCATCTGCGTGTGGGGAAACGCTACAGAGATTAGGCAGATCGTCACAGGTAAGAACAAGGCACGCCTCTGTTGTGTTAGCAGCAGTGATGATGGGCAGACTTGGAGTCCAACAAAAGACTTAACAGAGAGTGTGGTTGGTGAAACTATCCATAAGTGGGCCACGTTCGCTGTGGGTCCAGGCCACGGTGTTCAGCTGGAGAACGGCAGGTTGATCATCCCAGCCTACGCCTACTTCATCTCTTACAGATGCTGCTCCTACCCCATTCCTTTCACAGTGTACCCACGTGCACTCTCTATTTATAGTGAGGACTTTGGACAGACGTGGCATATAGGTAAGATGCTTCGAAAAAAGTCGTGTGAATGTGAAATGGCAGAGATTATAGACCACGAGGGCAGGAGTCATCTTTACTGCAATGCCCGTAACACTGGAGGCCACAGATGCGAGGCCCTAAGCGAAAACAGTGGCGTGTATTTCGACAAACCCCACATGGCCTCAGAGCTCGTCGAACCACCTTCGGGTTGTCAGGGCAGCGTCATCGGCTTCCCTGCTCCCGAATTTGTCCCAAACGACGACGCTGAAAGCAAAGCTTGCGGCACATCCCTCTTGTCTCCTGACACACAAACCTGGCTCCTCTTCATGCATCCAACCAACAAGTCTAGTAGAAGGGACATGGGCGTGTATTTGAACCGGTCCCCCCTGCACTCGTCGGGATGGGACCGGCCCAGGATCTTCCACAGGGGACCCAGCGGCTACTCGGACCTGGCCTACAATGGAGACAAGGATCAGTTCTCGTGCCTGATGGAGTGCGGGAAAGAGAGTGAACTTGAGCAGATTGCCTTCATGTCGTTTACCCTTAATGATGTCATGCAGACAGGCGGTAAGAAAGAAAAGAAGATGCATTGAATTGCGGTTGCTTTATATGTGTATTAACTTAACAGAGCTCCCTGACATTGTCATGCAACCTTAAATTCCAAACAAAAAAACCCCACTGAATATGGTGTGCAGTAACATCCGTCTGTGTTTACTGTTGTTCTACATTCTGGAGATGATAATGCATGAGTCGTGTGTTTTGTTGTCTCCCTGTATACATGAAAACGTATTTGAAGTCCTAATAGTGTTGATATGCAACCAACTGTACAAGGAAGGAAAAGGGGAGGGTGGTCGATTCGAAGCATGCTGTGCTGGACTGTCATTTTTAAAAACAGACGATGTGTGTAGCATGTTTGACGAGCACTTCATACCCCAACTCTGCATCTTATTAAACTGTCAGTTTTCCTGAGCAGTGGAGAGAATTTGCCTACCTCTTTTTATTTTCATATGAAGATCATTCGCGGGCCTTGTAAAGTCGAGTGAAGAGTTTTCTCCATGCTCAGTCTCTCTTTTAGATCCAGTGTACTCTGATTCACATATGCCTTCTACTCCGCTCTCTGAACTTCAGCTGTGCCGCTGTCGCCTGTCAGCGCACAACCTTTTTTGTGGGTCACAGAAAAGAAACATTTACTTACTGGCCGCATCCAGCTAATAATCAATGAAGAGACCAACTAAACTGTACCAGCTTGTAAAACAGCTGGTTACAGAGATTGATAGAGAGAGTTTAAGGACCTTCACCAAACAACTTCTGTCAACAGCATTTGGGCGACTTTTTACCTTCATTTTCCAGCAGTTACTTATTCTTTTCCAGTTTTCCAGTACATTTTGCATGATTTTCCAAAGTAGCACTATCGTACTATTATTTATCAATTGCAGGATTATGACCAAGAATGATTAGCTGGCCCTCGGATGTCATATAAACGCATGTGACAACATGTTACATACAAAGCCTCTAGGATTTTGCAAACATACAAAACCTTGTAATGAACAACTTTTAACATCTGTCTTTGCCCGATGTCGTGAGGCAAAATGCCTCGAGGCGACTCTGCGCTAGTTTCATTGTGTTTTTGTTGACTGTTGTGGAAAAGTGACAAAACTTGCATGAAACATGTATTTTAGTAGAAAATAAAGGTAACCTGTGATCATCGGACTCACCTTCTGTTCATTTTTGCACTTGTAATTATAATTATTATTGTTGTTGACATCAATTTAAGTGGACAAGGTAAACAATAATCATTTGGCAAAAGATCAGGGCATGGATACAGTTTTAAAAGCAGCCATGAGAAGCACTTAATCAGCTGTGGGGAGTATGTATTCCCTCAGCAGGCAGAGGAGGCTAAAAGGCTGCAGCGTGTTGAAATGATGTGAAGGACTTTTGTTGCAAAGTGGCCTGTAGGGATTTGAATGTGACGCAACAGATGTGCAGACAGCAGGGACGAATTAAGGAGAAACATTTATGTCTAGGTTGGAATCTGGTTGTTTGTATTTCCAATTGATACAATATCTACATTGAGTGACTGTTTGATACAGTTAACAAATGAAAACTACTTTGTGTGTTGTGACATGATTTCCTGTCAAAGTGAAAATATAGCAATATGATAATAATATTTCACTAATACAACTAGAGGAATAAAGCTAATGCTAAATCCTGTGCAAAGACCTAAAGCAAGAATATGTTAATAGTCTGTCTTATTTCCGTCTTGTGGCTCCCACTGAATATTTGTTTTAAAGGCTCTGTAATTATCTGGGTGTTCTTATCAAACGTTATTCATAAAAAAATTCTTGGGGAATCGCTGTGGGTGAAATCACATTTGATGCTCCAGTGAGTACTTCCCGTAGAAGGACGGTGTATAGCTTTTTGGAAAAGAATCTAAGATAAATTACAGTGTCTGTTTCCATTATAATGGAGGTAGATGTCACCCAGTGCAGTGAAATGGCTCATTGATGCGTTTTTGGAAACAATGGAGCTTTATGGCACAGACGAACAGGCGATATCAGGATTAGAATACACAGGCAGTACTTACAATCATAATAGGATCGATTCAGGGTTGGTTTTTTTGTGTGGATTTTTTAACGATAAGAAAAATATTCCACTGAAAAGACACACTAACTTGAGAACTGTGTATTTCCTTTACCAGCTATTTCAACTGTGTCCTGTGACCTTGGGTACACAGCAGCAGCTACAGGCTGCTACTGTCATGATCATGAACACCATCTCTGATCTGATGCAAAAGCAACAACTAGACAAGATATGAGGTGCACTTTATTAGATGTGGGGGCTTGTACGTCTCGAATGTGCTTATTAACTTTCCACAGCGACTCGTTTCTGTTTTTATCCACCTCGCCCAACCTGTTCCTTTGCAGGAAGGATGAGTCATATGTTGAAACCTGTTTGTTTTTTTCTCCGACAGTGTTGGCGGTGAGACATCCAATGTTTTACAGCACACGTGATAATGTTTATCAAGAGGCTGGCTGTCTGCAAGACACATATGTCTCATCTCTCACTCTGATGACATTATGGAGTTCATTAGTGGAGAGATTAACAGTGTTGGCGTCGCAGATGTTCTCTGTTTTGTGGTTAAGTGTTTGTGGTGTGTCCCAGCAGAGTTCTGCTATTTTAGCAGCACAGACAGCGGCGGACACTGCGGCTGCGATGCTGCTCCTGGACCGTCCATTTGAAAGACCCTGGGGTCCACTGGCAGAGAGCTGCCTCACATGGGGGATGTGAGGATGACAGGGGTCGATTTAGTTTTTGGTCTGAGTTCTTTCTGTCTGTCTTTCACAGGAGAAAATGAAAAAATGCCTTGTTCATTTGCAAGTTAGAAATGTCTTGATCATCTACTTTGACTTTAATGACCTTTTTATAGATAATTTGTCACCTTTTGATGAAAGATGACGGAAGTGTTCAGGTTGGTATCTGCACCTTTCATTAACCCCTTTGCTTTCATATATATCCGTTTATGGTAAAAACTAAATTGGATACCTTGGTAATCCTTTATGAAATAATGCTTTTTGTACTTACACCTTATGTGTTCAAGCTTTTGATGGGACAAAGCTAGCTAGAGGCTTAAGACATCTCCAAAAAGAATATATCTCCTTTAAGCACAAAAAGAGTCCACGTGTGCCATGCTCAGCACACGTTGCTTCCATTTTCTAGAGTCACATAAAAATCTGTTCCTGTTTTAGTGTAAGACCATGATGCACTCTGTTATTGTAGCAGTGGCATTTCAGTATGAGCCTCAAATGAAGAAAAGCTGTTTGGGGTCAGAGGTAGATTTAGTGGTTGCTGATCTATGGACGTATGTTTCGTGTTGTGTTATCCACTGGTGAAAATTATGATCTTTGATTAGTTGCAGCAAAACCTGTTTGCTGTGCAGTGTCTGGTTTTCAAACCTGCTTGTTTCACTTTCTTCTTCCATCGAATCCACAATCAAAAATCTGTGTTGTGCATCCGAGGGATTCGTTTTGTTCAAACACACACATTAAGTGTGTTAGTTATAAATAACCACTGTCAAGTAGATTATGTTTGTGTCTTGGTTTGTTAGATAGTTAGCGGGATTATACGAAAACTACACAACCGATTTCCATGAAATTCTTTTGGAGCGGTGTAACCAAGAAGGAACCCATTGAATTTTGGTGCAGTTCTGGATCAGGGGATCACTTGAATTTAATAGAAAAATAATTGGTGGTGTTTAGGGGACTAATATTCATGAGTGTATGAAATTTGCTGGAGATCCAAATAAAAATCAGCATTTACTGAATTCAGATCGTTTCATAAGAGGACTGTGGGTCTTGGCAGAGATATGCAGTCTACTGAGTTATATTGTATTTTGTTCAGCACAATGCACAGAATGGAAACGTAGAAACCTTCATGGAGCGCATGTTATATGAGAATGTTAGGATCATAATCCTTCAGCTCACATTGTGGGTAAAAGCCAATATTTTGTTATTTACACAGTATGTAACTCATAAAATATCCCTGTACATATTCTCAAACAAAGAGTTTTATTCCAAACGTTAACATAGAAGATAAGCTAATGTGGATGTTCAACATAACAGCTATGATTAGCATCTTTCAGTGAATATGACCTGGTTATGAGTAGTAAATACAAAACTCTTCTCTGACTTTCTACAAACAGGTGAGCACATTTTGAGCCTCTGTAAATAATCTTTTAGTCCTTCAGTCACAATGTTCAATGTTTGCATTTCTTTTCTTTTTATGGTTCAAAGACACAAAAAGAAAATACCTTTAAAACACGTGATGTGCTTTGTCCCTTTAGGTTAGATATACTGTAGGTTTGGGGAACAGACAGGATACATTCAGTATGAGTTGTCTCTTCTCTCTTTTGGTTTCTCTTTGTTTGCAAGACAGTAAAATAAGTTATGCAGGCAAAGTTACATTTTTCAAGGTTTGATTGAAGTATCTATTTACACTGGAAGCTACACTCAGTCAAATTGTACATTGTCACACAGAGTCACACACACGCACACACACACAGGGAGCAACGTTTCAGCTACTCCTTCAGGAGTTCCTTTCTTTCTAAATGTAACCACCTGTTATCTCACTGTAAAACAGATATTTACACCACAATGTAACCCTGTGCCAGCAGAAACAACTTCATGTGTCAAAAACACACCCACCCTGGAGATTAGTGCGGCCTTCACATGAGGAACAAAATCCCCCTCACATTACAAAGTAGTGGAATCAATACAAAACTAAAGGGAACAGACACGGGATGCACAGTAGAAAATGAGTTGTGCATGTGTGCAAGAATCAAGGGAACAAATAATACAGAGAGAGAAAGAGAGATAGAGCTCCCAGAGAAATGAGCAGAGAAGCTATATTTTTAGGCCTCCACCAAAAAAGAATTACATTAGCTAAATCTTGCCCCAAGTGACCTGCGGCAAGAGTTGTGATATTTGATAAACGCAAGACGTATCATTCATGTCCCCTCGCTTGAAAACGAGCGTTTCACCACAGTGTGTCCAGATCTTTGCATCAGATGCTCGGTGACCTTTCAACACAGTCCAAACTGTCTCAACCCTCAGGTTGAGCAACAGTGATGCTCTTCACAAGGATGGCATCACTGACTTTTTTTTATCTTTTTCGATACAGTTTAGGACATTGCAAAGATCATATGTCGGATGGACACGCGGCTTTGTCTGCGGACTGCACAGTCTTTAAAAGCAAAATTTGCCCACACCTGGATCAGACTGCCAGACCATTCTTGAGTAAAAAATAATGGCTTATGAGGGCACTGCAAATCTACATAAGCCGTAAAAGCCATGCCACATTTACGCCCTGTTTCGGGCTGTTCTCTCTTAAAGGGACATGCGCACAGTTTACAAACAGAGGAGGCAAAAAGACTGCAGAGAAAGCAGCAGGGTTGGGAAAGTTGCTTTCAAACACTCTCAGACCACTTCTTCTTGATTTACAGTTTTAAACCTATAAAATGCTTTTTTATTAAGTGTGATAAATATATTTTGGTTTGGATCAAGCCAAAAATGGATACTTTTTTGAGTATGTGTCAAAGGTGTCGATGGCTGTCTCAGAGCGATAAACTAAATGGCCTTTTGTAAAGCATGTGATCTGATTGTAATACCACAGTGGATTTATTTTTATGTTTTGAACAGTCAGATCCCTCCAAAGACTCAAGACAAGTAATCCATTTTTCCCAACCCTGTAAAGCAGTGAGCGTGGCAGAGCAGTCACATGCACACTATGGGAAATGTTAGGCTAGACACATGAGTACTAACCTTTGGCTCTCTGGCTGCTGGGTAATAAACATCATACAGAATAACAGGCAGTTGCGAGGGGAGAGACTCAGATGTCCAATGAAAGCACCTTTCACGCAGTAAAGTTTCATTTTAGCACAGAGGTGGGTTTTTTTTCTTTTCATCAAAACAAGTCAAATCAGATGAGTATCTGTCAGCATCTCTTAGTTTCAGTGGATCACAGAGAAGCGTCGCTCTGAACATTTTCAGCCTCCCCCTCTTGAGAAACAGTTTTTCTTTGAACAATCGGCAGTGAGCAAGTATATGACCTGTTTTTTTTCCACAATTGAAAGACTTTTTTCTTTTTTCATACATGATAACAATGTACTGCGCAAAATGGATATGCGCACATACTGGAAGCGTAATGTTGCCGAGGACATGCAAGTTGTTGAGTATACAGCAGAGCAAAAAGTGATGTTTCCCGGTGTCATTGTCGTCTTTGTCTCCTTGAAACATCGTCCGTCACTCAGATTTGCATCTTCAGGCACGTGACTCTTTCTTGGAGTGTGGCTTGTTTCCCAGCAGGGCATCAATCTCGGTAATGGTTTGCGGGGTCATTTGGGATAAAATCTGCAAGGAGGAGGGAAGGAAAGCGTTCTTTTAAAAAATGGTCATTTGCCACTTCATTGTGCACATCCCAAATATCATATCCGCTGGTTTACACAACCGTAGCTCAGTGTGTCGGGCAAAATTATGAATGTGGGAGGAAATACAAGTTTACCCGGAGGGCACCCAGGTTCTCAAGTAGCTGTTCTGTATTGGAAACTCCAAGAAGTACAGAGCTGACTCCCTCACTACGCAGACACCAGGCTGTAAATAAAACATCCGGTGTTAAAGCTGGGTAACATCAAGGATAACCGAAGAAAATGAACTTAACTCAAAGAATATTAGGTTTATTGCAGCAGTCAGATCACATGACACTGTTCAAGATTAAAGTCTTTATTGTCTATATATGCTGTGCAGATTGTGAAGCCCTTTGAGGTAAATCTTAGCTTCCAAACACACAACAACAAAATAAACAGGTTCCCTGGATGATCATGTCATTTTCCTGGGTACGTACCTATGGCTAACTGAGCAGCAGTGCAGCCCAGTCTGTCGGCCAGTAGATGGAGCTCCTTGATTTTTGCGAGCTGTCTGCGGCCCTCCTCACTGTTAACTCGCTCCTTCAGCCACTGGTATCCCTTCACCAGGAGAGAAGCATTAATAAGGCAGCTACTCCCACACTGATTTCACACCACAGTACCTCGCTGATCAGGGAGAGAAACCCCATGAGGACGACCGCTCAAATCAAACTGACCTTCATTGCTGCTCTGGAGCACTCGGGTACGCCATCGCTGTACTTCCCTGTGATTAGTCCACAAGCAAGTGGAGACCAGGTCATAGCTCCAACTCCTGAAAGAAAGGAATAAATGTGGACATTTGAATGAAACAAAACAAACCTTCAGTTTAAGAAAATGGAGAAAAATTGAGCTGTGAGGCGTGTGGATGTCTGACCGATCTTGTGGTAGAGCTCGGGAAGCTGCACCTCGACTTTATCCCTCTGGAAATAGTGGTACTCGGCCTGCTCACACACAGGTGGTATCAGGTTGAACTGGCGTGCCACTGAGTACGCCTCCTGGTGCCAAAACAGACACAAACAAATAGCCATGGTTACCAATCAGCACATGTGCCAAAAGCTCATACAAATAAAGGTTCAGTGTGTGGAATGGTGAAGTTGCATGCTGCAGCTGAATACCCCTCACCTCACCCTACTGTTCCAAACATGAAGGAGAAACTGTGATAGACTTGAGTTGTCATAAAAACTCAAAAGGTATTAAGTTTGTCCTGTTTCGACTAGAGAGGACCTGCTCCAAATGTAAATATAAAGTATTTAAATATAAAGGGCACATTCTCGGGTAAAGAAAACAACAATACATATATTCAATTTCTGCCAATAGATCCCTTTCACCTAAATCTTACACACTGGACCTTTAAATTTGTGAAGAATGGGAGATGAGCACTCACCATGATTTCCATGGCACTCCAGCGTGAGGTTCCCCAGTACATGGCCATACCCTGGTTTATTACAAAGGTCATGGCCCGTACGATCTCTGCAAATAACAGTATATAACATTTTTAAGTTAAACAATTCTGATCAATTTAAGGCAATGGATTACAGATGTTTCACACATGAACCATATATTACAAGATTTCTGCATATCAGCAAACAAGAATAACCATTTCAAACATCTATAACTGACCTTCCATCGGACTGTTGACATCATTTCTGTTGGCAAAAACAATGTCCACATAATCGAGCTGGAGTCTTGATAAGGATCCTCTTAAACCTGTCACAAACAATGGTCAGTTATTACGGGGCATCGTCACTAAGATCACAAGGGGCCCTCTCTTAAACCTGGAACAAAACAAAGGCAACCGCCACACAATTGTCTTTGCCATATTCAGACAGAAGCAGGTGTCCTTTTCCCGTCCAACTCCTATGTTATTTAAATAGCAAATGCACTTAACCCATCTGAGCACCCATGGGCAAGTTGGTCTAAATGAAGTGTGGTCAGGCACATTGTTGGCACGTTGCTTGCTTGAGGGAGTAGAAAACAGTTTTGCCGAATAACAGCCTGGTGTGAAGTCAGTGGTGCAGTATCTTGTATCTATTTTAAAGGTACATTTAGACTATTAAACATGTTGATGATATAGATCCCCAATAAATCCTTGGCAATGCTTTAGTGAATAAATTATGGAGGGAAAAATTATAAATTATTCTAGAGGAGGCTATGATTTTTAAATTTCTACACTGTATTTTCCAATTTTTAGGATCATT